TATATATATATATATAAATACAGAGACATATAAAAAATAAAATATACGAAGGGGATGAATAGAATAAATAGGAATAAAAATAAAAATACAAGTGAATTGCACATTTCAAGTATCAAGTAAATCATCCCCTCACCATGAAAGGCAGGCAACATCTCTGTGGCCAAATATTTCCTGTCAGTTGCCATTAAAAGCACCTCTTCCTGTTTAATAAATTAGACTTGAGTATAATCAGATTCGGTGTTTGGATCATGCATATTCTGATTTCAGTATTTCTTTTGGCAACAGGTAAGCGTACACATCATCATTACAGAGAACTTGAAATCATATCTTAGAGCTTAAATATTTGTTTTTGTAGATTATTATAGTGCCTGTCTGAGCCACTAACGGAAATAGATTAAACTATGCATCAGTGCCATTCGGTATATCATGAAGGAAAATTATCTTCTATCATTTAGAGGTACACAATTTCTTTTGCATAATTAGATTTAGTGATATTATTATTATTTAAAACTGTGAGAAAGAATAAACATAAACTATAAACTTGTACTTTATCTTGTAATCTGTTTATGTGGGCTTTTAGAGTATTGTTATTGTATTACTTACTACTGGCTATTACTAATATATCTTAGTACATGAGTATTAACAGGTCAGTATGAAACAGTATGGCTTAACAAAACAAAAAAACCCCATTCCTATTCAAATGAATATCTACAAGTACTGGAATGAAACTGAGTGAAAAACAACCAACATCAAGAGGAAAACTTTAGTAGACCCCCAGAAAGCATTTAAAAATTATTTCCACACCTAAACAATGTCACTGTGCAGGTACCTGTGAGGCATTGTTTTGGCAGAAGCTGACATGTCCTTATGAAGTGAAGTACAAGAGCCTTCTGAGGGTTTGGTGTCAGCAGAACTCTGCCGAGTGCTGCACTGGCCTCACCTTCAGTCACAGTGAACGCTTGGTGGATGGAGGGAAACTGAAGGTGACCCAGGATGTGAGCTCCTTCACTGTGGAAGTGTTGGAGCCAAACCACAAACAAGGAGTGTACTGGTGTGGTTTGCTGAGCAGGAATGGCACCATCATCAAGCTGGCTGAAGGCTACATCCACAACTGTAAGCATAAGATGATATTTCAATGTTATGTGCATGTTAAGCTTTCATAATTTTAAAAATTACAAAAGGTGATGTTCTAATATGAGTATTTATGGGAGTCATAGTTTTCTATGATTGTAAGCCCAGTTAAGATTTGGGACTGTTGCTCAGCACTTTGTGTTAACTAGGATTTCTGGGATTAGTTCCTAATTTTGCACACCACAAATTTTGTTTGGTTAGATTAGCATAAATTAATAATAGGCCAGGTGGTAAACATAACTAGCCATATATTAATCTCTGGAGATGGTGGAGACCAAAGTGGAGTTAGTAACATAGTGTTTGTGTTGCAGTGTGTCAGCTGGATGTGCAAACAGATATTAAACCACTGACAAGTCAGTAGTTTCCCTGTTCTAGTGCCAAAAATGTGGATAAGCAAGTAAATGTCATTATAGTGCTCATGGGCTTCACAACATGTATACAAACCACATGCTTTTTCTGAAACCCCCTGCAGCTACTGCTTCATATATCTGGAGTTTAATTCGCTGGATTCTGCTCCCTCTGCTGCCCATAGTGACCACACTTACCCGCATGTACCTGAAAAGTAAGATATTTTTATACCTCACCACAACAGACACACAGTTATTGCACTGAAGCTAAAGTTAGAAAAATTGTGCTGTGTGACACAACTACATGAAGTATAAAACTTAGAAAACATCTATCTATCCATCCATCCTGTTCTCATTCCTTTCAGATTATAATTCAATTTTATTTATTCAGCACCAAATCACAACAACAGTGGCTTCAATGTGCTTTATATTGTAAGATAGACCCTACAATAATACATACAGAGAAAAACCCAACAATCACATGACCCCCTATGAGCAAGCACTTTGGCGACTGCAGGAAGGAAAAAAGTCGCCTTTAACAGGAAGAAACCTCCTGCAGAATCGGGCTCAGGGAGGGGCGGGCATCTGCCTTGACCAGTTGGGAAGAGGGAAGGAAGACAGGAGCACAACAACAACACAGCAATTTATTGGATTTTGAGAGTTAAAAGATTTATACATGTTAACTTTTAGTGGAGCTTAGAGCTGTTGATATATTAAAAACAAAGAAAACAAAAAGAACAGTTTTACAATATTATCATTCATGTATACATCATATTTTTAAGAATCACTTTAATTTAGGCACCTCTGCAAATTATGTGGGATGAGAGCTTTTAAAAGATGCAAATGTGTCTTAAATGCCTAAACGGGCTGGGATAGGCTCCAGCACCCCCGCGACCCTGAAAAGGATAAGCGGAAGCGAATGGATGGATGGGGTGGATGTACTGTAAGTCAGAAGGAAGGTTGGTGGTTCTCTGGCTGTTACAGTTTGCATGCCAAAGCATCCTTGGGCAAGACACTAAACCACAAGTTACTTTCCAGTGTATGAATGTTAATGAAAGTACTCAGTTATAGAAAAAAAGTGCGTGTTAATATAAAGTGCTCAAGTAGAGAAACGCCATGTAAGAACCAGCAGTTACACTGATAATGTTCAGCACAAACATCTGTTTCTGGTGGTGGTCTTCTTATGTTTGGTTGATGTCATTAAAATGCTGTCTGAAGCAGGTAGGACCCAAAATGCAGCACTCCCAGGTGGAACTAAACTCAGAAACACAGCTTTATTGCTGGAATTACAGTAGACATTAATCTGGAGAATGGAGACAGCCAGCACAACGTGGAACGGAGGAGAACACAGGGAATATATACACAAAGGCTGTGTCCCAATTAAGAGACCGCACGCTTGGAGTACGTGCAGTATGCATACTACGTACGGTGTGTACTATAAGTACGGGAAGTACGGAAGTGAGAGGCTTGTGAAATGGTACAGTCTAGCCTTCGTCGTGCTGCTCAGGTTGCCTCGCAACCATGATACTAACCGCGAGAAACGTTTCATACAGCATTGTTTGACAGAAATGAAGGAGAAAAAATGTTTTTTTGGTCATTAATTTTTTTCATGACATCACTTTGATCAGTTGATTATCTGAGGCTGAGACCACAGGACTGTAAAACCTGATTGTTGGGCTTCATTTCTGTACTAAACAGTCATTTCAAGATTAGTTAGTAAATAACAATTAGTTAATGTTGTGCATGAGACTAAAATCATCTCACTGTGGTAATGTAAATATGATATGGCCAGTATTATATTTATTGTCAGATTATTATGATATATATATATTACAGGATATATTACAGAAGTGAGCTTGAACTCTGTGTCAAAGATTCAAGTTGCAGTTATTTATGTCCTATCACCTTAAATCTTCACTTAAACACAAGTATCTCTGACAGTGTATATATAGATGTATTATATATAAGAGACAAATATTGTTCGTTTAATATGTTGGCATTATTACATTTGGCTCAATGCTTACATATATGTGTAAAAAGAAAATGTACAAGCTGATAACTGTTTCTGATAGAATGAAGAGTAGACAGATATATGAAATATTCCTTTATTGGGTGAGAAAATCAGACCATGTCATAACTGCTTTAAGTCACACAGAATAGATATCAGAGCCTTAAACAGGCTGATTTCTGCTAAGTGGGTCAAACTGGGCAGAAAGTATCCAAACACATAACATCCTTATAGAATATGATGTAACACTATAGATCAACTTACCTCAGAATATATAAAGCATATAAACAATTACAGCAATATGATGCAACAAACACAGCAGTGCTACAAAATACTCAAAGCTTCATAGAACTGAAACAAACATTTATTTTTAGCTCCATTCTGCTGCTGATACATACTTTAGGTTTCTGAACATTAAACTTGTTGCTGCCTTTCATAGTGTGTAACTTGAAGGCCCTGAGTACTTTCTCCCACACTGAAAACACTGGAATGATAAAAATTATTTGAACATTACCTAATAAGACAGACAATTAGTTATTTTAAACTTTCCTAGCAGTCCTTCACAAACAGGGAACAGTCTGTCTATTCTCTCCATCTGTCAGCTGCTGCTGGCTCTTCCTCCTCCTCTTCCTCACACACTGCTGAGTTTGTCCTGGTGGATCATCAGGGGTGCAAAGCCTCACAGCTGATGTGCAGCAGTGGGTCCTTCAGTCTGTCCTCACTCTGGACACTTGCAGTTGTCACACATGGAAATCAAATGTGTGATAAGCTGCAGGATTCAAACACAAGTGTAACTTATAAATACATGTTCATACTTTTATTACACAGTAAGAGAGAAAGAAAAAGAGAGAGAGTGCAGGACAGACAGACAGGTGACAGTCTCAGGTGTATACACTGCTACAAAACAGCACAAGAGAAGGAGGATTTAGTGTTTGTGTTATTACGAGTGCTAAACAAGAAGAGTTCCCAGATGGTACAGTGGACACATGTGTTTAAAGCATCTTTCTTTCAGCTTAACGAGTGAACCGTCAGCTCGTTCAAACACACGTTAAAGTCTGTTTGGCTCGACACCACCGAACAGAGGCAGCAATATAACATAGCTAACATTAACAGTGCAGTGAATCCTGCTTGTGCCGTGATTCAGGACTGCAAACTGAGCAGCATCACTGACTTTCAGCTTGTTGTGTTTGTGGATATATGACTGACTTAAATTATCCATAAAATCGTCACATTCTCTGTAGGATTAAGGTCAACTGTTGAACGGTGTATATTTTAAAGTAAAGGCTCTAAACCAAGTTAACGCTGAAAGTACAAATATCGCTAATGTCACATAACTTTGCCGACATGTGGCCAACAGTAATGTTTTGATGTTCTTCATTATTAAACATTCGCACATAAATAAGTGACATGATATTCAGTACTTTTAAAAGTTTACTCTTCGGCCGCTCCGCTTCTGCCGTCTGCTGTATTTTGCGGCAAAACTATCCACACCCACCGCCGCTCTATGAATTGTGGGATATATGGGACCATGAAGCGTGCACCGGACGATGCTTGATGTTTGGGGAAATCGACGGCACATTTGGAGTGCACTTCGAATTGGGACAGCCGTCGTCGCGTCGCTGTGCCATAATAGGTCTCAAAATGCATACTCCATGCATGCAGTCTCTGAATTGGGACACATCCAAGGAGGATAACCAGGGAGACGGGCCACAGGCGGGAACACAGCTGTCACTAATCTGAGTGATGAGACAGGGGAAGCAAAACTGAAAATAATACACATGAAACAGAAGACTATCAAAATAAAACAGGAAATAACAAACTTGACAGAGCAACAGGAGAATAAACACACAAAGACAGGACTGACTAGGGAGGAAAGAAAGGAAACACAAAAGATGATAACTAAACATTGCCTAACCTAATAAGGAACACAGAGTGGAAATAAAGGGAAACTAAGTTAACCAAACAAGAAACCAAAAATAGAGATAATGAAACTCAGAGGCACAGGAAAAAAGAAAAGAAGAAGCCTATGGAGGTCCAACCCAAATCTCATCTTAACCTAGGATGAACCAAAAAAAAACAACCTATAGAACAGGACAACAGAATTATAATACAAAGATATGGAAAAAGAAATGAGAACAAACCCCAAGACCTCCCAAATTCAAAACTTGGGGTCAACGACCTAGACCATGACAGCTGAAAATGAAATTAAGAGTATCATGTTTGATGAAAATTAGTCAGATGAAATCTTTGTTTGCACATTCTGGATTCAGGTTCTTCACCATCAGCCGTAGAGACAGGCCTTCATTTATTCATTTATGTTCTTCACTTCTAATGAGTCCTTCAGATAATAAATGATGGTAAGGGAAGATATTTGTGCTGCGTGAGATGAACCATTTTGCAATGTAAGAATTTTAGCGCTTGTTTTAATATTTCATGAATAATAAACAATGGTCACTGCATCGTGTTGTAGCATGTAACCATGGTGGGTTCACTAAACTCTCTGACTTTTCTTTCATAGCAACAAAAAAACACCTTTTTAAGGTAAACTTAAACTTTCCATATCTTGAAACATTTCAACAGCATGAAGAGTTACAGGTTTTACATCTTTTTCTGGTCTTCCCTCAGAAAGCAGATGGACTTTATGACGACGTGGGCAGAGCTGTGACTGAGCAGGAGTATGAAAATGCAGAATTTCTGCTGTGAAATGCTGGCACGAGGAGCGTTGGCAGAGTCTTTACATGTAATGGAATAACTGAATTATTCAATCTGAAATTCTAATCAATTACTGAGAAAAAACAACAGTTAAATTGCCAATGAAAATGTTCAATTCAAATCATTTTTTTTAAATAGAGCAACAATTCACAGCAGGAGTGGCTTCACAGTTCTGTATATTGTTAGCCAATGACCCTACATATGGTTTTCACAAAATGTCCAACTGTAAGCTGGCTAATGTGAAGCATAAAGTTTCTTTGCACTGTTTTGAAGCCACCAGGGGTTGATACCTGTGGTTGTTAAAAGACATTCTTTGGAGGTCTGTGGGGAAATGGTCCTCGGACTTACATACTGTTGGCACTTTTCTGATTAGTCTGTAGACTCAGCCATTCATTTCGAGTCATGCTGAATAAAACTTCATTTTTCTCCCAAATTACAGATTCTGATTCATGTTGATGGTAATATATTTTAAAAAGTATTTTATATATGAAGATAGAAGTTTGCAGTCATTATATATGCTCAAATCTTGGACCATGAAGTTTTTTTAAAATGGAAAATGGAGGTAGTTAAGCAAGAAATGTTCTAAAAATATGCTGTTTTGAGACGGAATGACCAAAGAGTGTCAGCGACCTCTTCTTTAATATTTTTGTAAGTTTTCTCATACATTTTCACTTTAACTTTGGAGAACATTCACAGATTGTTTACAAAAGATTTCGGCATGCATGTTACTCATTCGTTTGTGAAGCAGTATGTTATAAAAACCTGAGCTGAGCTTTTTCACCATCACCTTGGATTTTGAAAGTGGATATAGTGAATGAGGAATGGATATGACAATACTATCAAAGACATTACATATTTATTGCTTGTCAACTTGTACTCTAATAATAATAGGGGTGGATTCTTATAATCGATTTATCGATTAAAATCGATTCTGGCTTGGATAACGTAAAATTGATTCATTAAAATCCTGAGTCGATTTTTTAATATAAATTTATTTTGCCCGAAATGCCAGAATCTCTGGTGAAATCTCACAAACTTTCAACAACCACCAAACAGCTAAGACAGTAAATGAGAGCAGGAACACAGATTCTGCACAAAGACTTAAACACACAGCGCAACCTGCGGATCAGAATCAGTTAGATGTCGCCTTTCTCACAGTCGGGGCTGAAAGCCAACAGCTCGCTGATTCTGATCTGTCGGCTGGTCCGCGCTTTGTGTTCACGCACTTTATGCGCTGATTCTAAAGCTGTTAGTTTGATCTCTCTCCAAACAATATTGACCGAATCAGCAGCAAAAGAAGATCCAAACTACGCTTCACATAAACATCGTCATGTATTCACTCTGACTTTTGCCGTTTTGCTTCGACCACGATGCACAGCTCTCTCTCTCTGTACTTCAACAACAGTTTCCCGTCTAAAAATCTGTTTTCTTCATTATTCGCTTGCTTGTTACGCACAGGTCTACCTTTGTTTACAGCGCTGTCGGCTGACGTTTTTTTTTCCGTTTTATATACTTCCGAAAAGAAAACCTAATTTCTGCCGTTCAATACTGAACAAATTTAAACTTTTTAAAATTATGCAAAATGCAAAACGCTTAGCCGTGTCTCTACTAAAACCGCTGGAACTTCAGAGGTGATGTTCATGTGTTGATTAATGGTTTTCTTTCGTTTTTGATGTACTGCAGAATATTTTTATAAAATCCCAGGCCAGGAAAATCACCTTCATGTTTTTCTGTGTTTTATCTTCAGCTATTTTGACACAAAGGCATCTGCTGTGATGCTCACACCTTTGATAAAGTCTTGCGTGTGTCAGCTTCCTTTTTATAGATACAAAAATATGTAAATGTACTGATCTGAATTATGATATATCTGACTGTCAAAATTTCCCAGAATCAAATCGAATTGAATCGAATTAAATCAAATCGTGGATCGAATCGATTCGGTACCTTGTGAATCGGAATTGAATCGATTCTAGAAATCAGTGACGATACCCAGCCCTAAATAATAACCATAATTTACAAACTGAAATTTTGTTTTATTCAAAATGACCTGAAACTGATGACTGAGCACATAATGTCATCGGGAATGTTTTTCTGATGACGCATAGCATAACAGACTTCCATAATATCAATAGCCACATTGCATTAATAATGTACACTTTAGTCCCAGAAGTGTCATCTAACCTATACTTTTAACAACAGCCAGCTTCACGCATTACATAATAACTTTGCTAAAAACCTATGTAGGGTATCTACCTTATAATGTGAAGCAGCATAGTGAGAACACAGTTGCTATACTTTAATGTCATGTTAAAGTACATAACCGTCCCAGTCATGGTGTTTGTTTCCCCTCATTGTTTGGAATTGAATTGAACATTCGGTCTTTTTATTTACATAGTTCCAAATCACAACAGCAATTGCTTCAAGGGGCTTCAATATGTTCATATGACGAGACACACACATCTTTTTTATGAAGAAATAAGTTTGCATTTATTGGACAAACCAAACATAAGCAAACTCACACATAGTGTAAAGATGGACCATGTCATGGGGTGACAAATGAAGGGTTTCATTCCAAAATGCTGTACAACCATTAGGAGGGAAAAAAAAACAAAAACAAAAAAAACCCAGTATTTTAAAGAGCACATCATTCATTCAGAAATCTTATTACTTTAGTCACAACAACCCCCTAATGAAGCTGTATTTATTTCATGGAGATGACATTATTCCCACATGCTGTACATTTCATTTTGGAACAAAGCTCTTCAAATATATCTTTTTATTTTTACACTTTTTACATTCTTTTCTTGCTGTACATTTTAAGTCTCATGCTTTGCTTGAAACTGTGGTGTCAGCATTTATCCTCAATCACATGACGAGAGACAATAAAAAGAATAGCATACAGTATTCAGGATCAATGCTGCATAGTTTCAACTTTGGAATAACACAATTACCTTTTTGTAAACTGTGTGTATATGTGATGGAAAACCATATTAAAGCTGTCAAAAGAATACATGCGATGTATCTTGGAAGCTTCACTTCTTTGAAAAATTTCAGTATTGGGAGATGATGCATGTCATCACGAGTCCATCAAGAGCAGCTGAAATAAACAAAGGTGGAGCAGTTCATACCATCGCAGAGTTTCTTAAGAAGCTCTGGCAGTAAACCACAGCATGATGGATAACAGGAAATGGATGACAAATATCAACAGATGTAACTTGAAAAAAACAACAACTAAAACAAGCAAACAAACAAAAAAACCTGCATGAGTTTTTAGGAACGTCTGGGCACAAAACATGCAAAGAAAACAACAAAATGGAAGCAATAAATAAAGTAAAAGTCCTGGGAATGTTAACAAAACTCCACTGAGAGTGACACCAAAGCAAACAACCAAGTCACTGCAATCTTTTAAACAGAATTTAAAGATGATACAGATCCACCTATAACAAAAGGCTAGGACAACATTCTTAACCTGACCGAGCTAGCCAACAGATTACAGTAAGAACACTTGAAATGGTTCACGAGGACAGCTGCACATCATTCCCTTGTAGTAAACCTCCGTTAAGGCAATCGGGAAAACAGGAAGAGAATTTAGCACTTGAATCACACACAGCTTGCTTTTATGTGAAAAAAACAAACAAACAAAAAACATGGACTGTGAGGGTCATGGACGCCTCAAAGCAGATTCGTATGTAATTCAAATGTATTGAGATTTAACCCTGCGGAAACGTTGCGTTCGTTTGGTGGTGATGTCTTGATAACATCAGTCACTTGCAGATACTTTTCTGGATGTTTCCAGTTAGTGGGATGTTTCAAATCAGTATGCAGAAGTGGCAGTGAGGCTTCAGACTGCTTTAAATGCTCCATTTCAGACATTTTTTCTACTCTTTGTCCGATATCATGTCCAAAAAAAAAAATAGCCACAGTTCTGGCCCTACTTGACCTTCTGTCCGTATGAGATCACTAAGGAGAAGATGTACACCGTGTACAAGATTTACAAGTCTAAAGAGCAAGTCAACAGTTGAAATGAGAAACACTTTAGCCAATCATGTTGTTGCACTGACACATGCACACAGTAGAGGTTAGTAACAGCTTCATTTGCAATGCTGTAGGCGTGAGTAGTAGCAGAGTCGCGGCTCTCTCCCCAGTCTCAATGCGGTTTTTAAATAAGCCCCCAGATCCGATTCAAGATGGCTGCTGAATTGAGAGATTTGCTTGTTGAAGGCCTTTGTTAACAGCTCCTTCTAAAATACATACAGCTAAGAACACAGATTAGAAGGTGTCCTGCTTTCAAAATAACCATCAACTTACTCCTGCTGTTCAGGGAGAAGGAGCTAAAGCTGCTGTTAAAGGAAGCTCCAGAAAACAGTTACTGCTGTTCTTACTCTCACAGAAGAAAAATCTGGAAGCAAGACGGCACCAGAAACCTACCAAACAGATCCCACTGAGATGATCTTGCTTAATAATAATAATTTAATAATAACACAAGCACAAAGAGCCTAATGTTGAGTTAAACACAGAAGGCCATGAGAAAGAAAAATATCCAGTTTCAGATTCAGCCAACTTTGCAAGGATGATGAACTTTAGGAGTGTGAAAAAACAGGAAGGCCTTCTTAAATCATCTAAATTCTCCTCCAGTGTTCATATTTAGACACAAGACTAAAATTACCATTAACCATTAAGCTCAAGAAACAAAGAGAAAGAACACAATGGATTCTTTAAGAAGTCACTTCTCACTCTGAGCATGCTCTCAGTTATTACACCAACCACACCAACATTCAGACTAAATGGTTAAGCTTTATTTACAGCAGCTGGTTCGTGGAGTGGATGATGTCAAATAAAACCTTATTCCAACATATTTAAATGCGTCAGAGTTCAAAGAGCTGAGCTGCGGCCACCTTGATCATCGTATTTCTATTACCACTCACTACAGTACATGTGGGTGTCCCAGCCTGTTCTTAGTGGTTGGAACGGAAGTGACAGCACAGGCGCAGATGGGAAAAACAAACGTAATATACAGGTCAAACATAGCAGAGTCCTGGCTTATTTTACCTGGGTGCTGTTAGCCTTGTATACAGTGTATGGCTTGGATATGCTGCTTTATGCACATACAAACCACCAACAACCCTGTGCCCTGGCACTCTTCTGCAGGAGCTCTTATAGCTCTTCATAATCGCCATCATCTCTTTTGATTGATGCTGCCCCACCGCCCAGAAAGTCCTCCAGCTCGTCCACTTCGGTTTTCTTGGTCCTGGATTTTTTTTTCTTTTTCTCCTTCTCATCAGGCACTGCAGCTTCATCCTTTTCCCTTTTCTTGTGTTTGTGTTTCTTCTTGCTCTTTTCATCCTCCTGTAAGTGACGGCACACAGTTTACTGTAGGACTCGCCGGCAGAACCTCAGAGGCATAAAAGACATAAAAAGCTGAACTTTTCTATTTCTGTTCTGTTCACGTTCATAGCAAAACAACAGAATCCTTTTAATAAAGGGGAAAAAAAAAAGAAGACTTAAATAAAGTTTGAAGTCTGAAGCGTCTGACCCCTCACTGGTGAGTGTGTTAGATAAGAATGTCCACTCATTATGTCTTTGAATTTTCATTCAAATTTTTACAAATAATCATTTAACATTTTACATACACCTTTGTAGCAGCAATGTCTCCACACTATCCTCTTGCTCACCGACCGTCACCACAGCTCAGTACCAGGCATTGAATTTCTAATAGATACTATACACTCGATGGTCAATGAGAAAAACTGTTTTATTTCTCTTCTTTAGACACAAAGTCCTTACAGTATGTAATATCAACAAAAAGCTTACCTCTTTGCTCTTCTTCTTCTTTTTCTTCTTTTCCTTGGAGGAGTGCTTGCTTTCTTTCTCTGAAAGAGGAGCACATGCATACAGCACTCTCACAAGTGGTGAACATCTGATGGAGTCA